GCCCAACGTCTGGCCATTTCCTCAAGACTGTCGACGAGGACCCAGAATTCAGGCAAAAGTTCAGTATTGTAGTGCCGCCAATGGACTGTGTCTCGTTAGCAAGCATTCTTTTGGAGTGAAATATTGCCATCAACTCACCAAGTAGGACTCGGGCACTGATAAAAACACAAAAAGCAAATTGGTTCGTCACAGGACTATACCCGGGAGTGTGCTTCAGATACTTCTTGGTGATGGTGGTCGTTTCCACCGCTGCGATCTGGCATGTCTCGGCACTGCAGAAACTCGGAAGCTTCACATGCTCGGTACGCCCAGGCTCAGGGTACGCGATCCGCTGGTGTAGCAATATCATGGACGTGTTATGCGTGACATGGGCAAGCGTAAGGTTGGGATCCATATTGATGAGTGCCGGTTGGCGGGAGATGTTTGAGTCTCTCCATCTCTGTGGCAGAAACATCTTCCAGCTGTGGACGCAAAAGATTAGCAGTTGTATATGAGACAGAGCTACGTCTCCAAGGATTGGCGGGCACGTACTGGACAAGTCTGAGATCTAGCTCTTTGAACCTGGTCAACCAGTTGCTCACCTCCTGCCTGTTCTCAAAATCGATCGTTTGCTGGAGGAAGTAAGTTGTGATTCGACTAAGAGACTCTGTCGCTTCGACACAGTAGGCAAAAGCCCCGACCGTCGTCATGTCTACGGATTTGGAGCCCTGCCGCTCTGGGGGAGCTGCTGAAAGTGTTCTGGGTGAGTCCTCGACAGCATCTTCTGTCGGATAGTGTCCGGGCAGGAAGGCAATTGAGTGACCAATCCGTGCTGTCGATCGATCCCATATGCCAAAGTATGGTGTCATCACGGCTTCCTGCCGGTGCCACAATCCTCCGTCGGCGGGGAGTCTACGCTTGACATCGTCCGAGGTCAAGCTCGTGTTCCATCTGATCGTGTTAGCTGCTTCTTGAAACCTGTAGGATGATGGAAAACTTACCCCGTTGTGACAGAGCAGAATCTGAGGAAGCGATAAGTCAGCTATGCCCAGGAAGTTGCGTGAAAATGAAATCAAGTACCTATCAAGACAAAAGATGTTCCAAAATACTCGTCTTCTTTGCTCTTCTTCCGTCCAGTCTTTGGATCTCGGTATTAATGGCAGTGGCTTGAGCAAGGGATCCTTGTTATGGTGATCTGGTTCAACACTGAGTTGAATGTATTCGACTGTCCTAGTCAAGGAGCCGATTATGGACCATGCCTTTGAAGCATCGCCGTTTCCGATCTGGTCACATTAGTATCTCACTGTGACATTGAATCAGGGAAATCTCACATCATTGAAGGCTATAATGGTCAGCGACTGTAAACTTTCGACCGAAAGGCTATCCATAGATGTCAGTATGACAAAATTCCTTGACTTTGCAGTCTGACGCTCCACACCCTCCGCGGATAACTTGGTGGCCGGATCATCTACGAAGCGGAGTGCGGCAACGACAATAGCATGTAGAATAACAATTAGATGTGGCAGATCCTCCGGGTTGAGGATCCGACTTCGAAACTGTGTTTCGTGTAGGATTGGTATCCATGGCTGAATGATATCAAAGTAGATGTTGATAACTTCCTCCAACAGGGCGGGAGGTGGCAGACTGGTGGTGATGTTCTCTAGCTCATCCTCAAACGGACCAACCAAATCGACGTTTGGGTTACCGCAGCTATCCAACCGACGTCGCTTACGGTGGGAACCATCCTGATACGGGTTGGTATCACGCCGATCGGACGTGAATGCTGATGTGTGAGATGTGGGTGAGACAGTCGGAGAACCTCTTTGGTCTCGGCCTCTCGTATGCCCACGGGTGGCTCTCGAGTTCAGCTTGTGCAGCTCGGACGCAAGAGTAGAAAGGATCTCCACGAGGCCCTGCCCGCCTTGCTGGTTCTCATGACTGCTGCTGTTGGCATCCTCGCCAAGGAAGGCCGCCGGGTCATGGCCCTTCTTCAGCAGAGCATGCTCCAAAGCATCTAGAAAAACGTTAGGAATTGCACGACGATGGACACCAATCATGTCGTGACACATACCGACCCTGCGGCTCAGACTTCCCACCGCACCCGCCTTGATCCCTGGCTTGTTCTTCTTCAGATCGTACACGCAGGGCGCATCTATTCACGAATCATGCGTCAATCACACAGGCCGCGCTCGGTGGACTTGCCCTGAGGGTGGCTCACCCAATCGCCGGCAGTGGGCGCAGATTGGTTGGTCGCGAGAGCACTTGAGCTTGCGCCTCCGACATCCTTGGCACGAGGGAACCTCTGGCTCACCCGGCACCGGGGACGAGGCCGCATCGTCGGGCGCTACACCGGCCGGCCCGGACGCGTCCATATGATGAAACGGCAGGAATAACGCGCGGCGGCGTAAAGTTCAGCCCCCTCTTCCTGGTAAGGGAGCCAGATTATCTCAGAGTTGGGTAGAGTTGTCTTCTCTTTCGCCCGCGACGGACGCCGTGGCAACTGGCGGCCGGGAGATGATGCGTCGAGAAAGTCTGGCTGTCGATTATATTCGCACGCGTGGAGAAGGGGGGAAAGCTTGTGCCCATCACCCCATATGTTGGGATCATCCCCAGCACCCAGTTGGACCAGCCGACACCCCACAGCCGCTGTGACGCTGTCCCTTTTCGTCTGGGGAAAACATTCGCTCGGCTAAAGGGGGCCTGCGGCTAGGAGACCAGGGGGTCAGCTGAATGCGGGGGAGCTGCGTTCTTGGATGCCATGACCAAGTTTTCTACCAGCCCGGGCTCTATCATCCCGATGCCCGATGGTGCATCTAGCTCGCTTTTCCAACACTCTATTCCAAACAGAGTGTCATGTTCTAGAACCTGGAGTTCGTTTAAGTTTGTATGGTGTTTAAAAAGCATCCGATAATCCACAGGAAAGGTCTTACTCAGAGAGAACATCTCAACGACCTTGGCTGTTTCATTGATGGTTGAAAATGGCTGAACAACGACCCTCTGAAGTCAGACCACAGGAGACTGTTGCCGAGGATGCGACGGAGAAAGAAGTTGGCAACCCGGCAGTATCAACAGCGGCGGTAGTTGAGCCCGAGGTGGAGACGGGCCGGGAGCTGAAGGAAGCACCCAACAGGAACGTTTGGATCGCTTGGATCTACATGTTTGACTGGTATCCGTCGCATTATCCTGCAGACGAGAGAAAGTTTCTGCGGAAACTTGATGCTTTTCTTCTCACCTTCACTTCCATTGCCTTCTTTCTCAAGTGGCTGGATCAGTCAAACATCAACAGCGCTTATGTCTCGGGCATGAAGGAAGAGCTCAAGCTCAAGGGGAATGAGTAAGTTGAAGAACTATTTGGCTGCATTGATCGATCTCGGGGGTTTCGACTGACTGTGATTCGACTTATTTTAGGTATTCGATGTTCCCCATGTTCTATAATATCGGCTATGTCATCTGCCAGATCCCAGCATTGTTGCTCCTCTCTCGACCTAAGTTTACCCGTTGGTTCCTCCCGTCTTGCGAGGTTGCCTGGAGTGTTCTTACGTTCGCTCAATCCCGACTTCAGAATGCTCCTCAAATTTTCGCAACTAGACTTCTGCTTGGATTGCTTGAGACCCCGGTTGCATCTGGGTGTCTCTTCATCTTGTCGTCATGGTACAAGCCGGAAGAACTCTTCAAGAGAGCCGGCGTGTGGTATGTGTAAGTATAGCACAGAGAAGCACTCTACCCTTTGTATTGTTGCTAACTCAAGGATACAGATCAAATAACATAGGCGTCATGTTCGGTGGATACTTACAGGCTGCTGCTTATACAAACCTCAACGGCGTCGGTGGAATGTCTGGTTGGAGGTGGCTCTTCATTATCGACGGCAGCATATCATTGCCACTCGCATTTTTGGGATTCTTCATCTTCCCCGGAATGCCAATGAGCGGCAGGATCTGGTGGATGACAGAGAAAGAGTACGAACTCGGCCAGCTGCGCATGCGAGAAGTTGGCGTCGAGCCCCCCAAGAAGATCACCAAGGCTGTGCTAAAGAGGATCTTCTTCCACTGGCACTGGTACCTTGGTGTCCTGGCCTACATCCTGTTTCTCTCCGGCGCCTACCCTCATGGGCAAATGGCACTCTGGCTGAAAGACCTCGGCGACCGTTACGGAACATACACCGTGCCCCAGATAAACACCATTCCCACGGGAGCACAAGGCGTATCTGTGATCGGCACGTTGATCGCGACGAATCTCTGCATGGTCTACCCAACCTGGGCCATCTATCAAATAGTCATGGCCTTTTTCATGTTTGCAAACATCTGCATGATGGTCTGGGAGATCCCCCACGACCTCAAATTCTTCGCTTTCTACATGTTCGGCATGAGCGCGGCTGTTACTCCTATTCTCGCACCCACAGTAAATTATTGGCTGAAGGATTCTGCTGAAGCACGAGCATTCTTCAGTGGGAGCATGGTTGTAAGTTCTTTCCATTTCCTCCGGCGTGACTGCGCAGTATTGACTCGGTTTGATATAGATGCTTGGCTTTGCTATTAACTCCTTTTACCCGCTTGTCACATTCCCGGTTGTTGAAGCTCCACGTTGGAAGAAGGGCTACATAGTGAATTTCTTCTTTATCCTCGGGGCATGGGGATTCCTTACTCTAGGATACTTTTTGCATAGAAGATGGGAGAAGCGACAGAAACAAGCGCAGGAAGAGCAGGCACGGCTCGAGGAGACTAAGGGGGGTGAGGATGTGAAGCATTTTGCGTAGATTGTAGTTATCTATAGTGCTAGCCTCAAAAGATGAAGTGAGAGACTTTGATTTGAACTGAAGCCTCTTTCCTCATCTAACTTGAATACACACTGTTAATCCCACACGCTGGCCCTTTGCCCGACGTCCGATGCGAGGGAGTGGAGTCTGGACGATCAGATGATAAATATAAACATACGGTTTTATAGACTGTAAAATACCTAGTAAACGGGAGGCCAAGATTTGACTTGATATTCCTCTATCTGAGAAATCGGCAACAGCCGCCATCATGCCTCCACTCCCTGGATTTTCCGATAACCCGCTCAGGTCTCGCTCGGACGTGATCAACGCAACCATTGCTCTGCTGAAACCATTGACCAAATGCTTTTCCCCCGCAAAAGCTCGAATACGAGTGCCGGTCTCAACCGCTGCCCACTTCGATGAGAATGCTGCCCAACTGGAAGGCTTCGCTCGCCCTCTTTGGGCGGTCGGCGCCCTTGCCATGTCGTTGTCATCACCAAACGTAGATGCGGGTCAGAAAAAGGAGCTTGAAGACCTCTGCCAGCCATGGGTTGATGGGTTCGTCGCCGGCACAGACCCGAAACATCCCGAGTACTGGGGAACGATGGATGACATTGATCAACGAATGGTGGAAGCTGAGATCTTGTCCTTTGCGCTCCTGGCTGCCCCGGATTACTTCTACCAGCCATTAGCGAATGATTCGAAAGCTAACATCAAGAACTGGCTGCTGAGCTTACATGAGCTGCCAATGCCGAGGAACAATTGGAGATGGTTCCGAGTCTTGACCAATCTAGCATTGGTAAAAACATGTGGCAAGCCACTGGAAGATGTGAAGACCGAGATGGAATCAGACCTGGATATTCTTGACTCATTTTACCGATCAGATGGATGGTCGGCAGATGGTTCGTGGCTTACAAGGGAGGAGGAGCTGGAGTCATACGCTCGTTATCGGGAAACAGGAAGATGGGATGCATCAGCTGGGGTCGGGCGTCAAGTCGATTACTATTCAGGAAGCTTTGCCATCCAGTTTAGCCAGCTTCTTTTTGTGCGATTCGCGGCAGACATTGACCCTGAGAGGGCAGAGAAGTATCGCCAACGGGCTAGAGATTTCAATGTTCGGTTCTGGCGGTATTTTGACGCGACAGGTTTGTATTCATGATTGATGAACTAAACAACATTTTGAACTTCGACACTGACATTCTTCCTAGGCGCGGCGATTCCCTTTGGGCGTTCATTGACATACCGCTTTGCTTGCGCTGGATATTTTGCAGCACTTGCGTTCGCTAATGTTCCTGGCTTAACTGGCCCGGTCAATTCTCAAGGTGCGGTCAAGGGATTCTTGCTTCGTCACTTGAGATGGTGGGCGGCGAACTCAGACGACATATTCCACGTCGATGGTACTCTTAACATCGGCTGGTCATACCCGTGAGAAGACAAACCCATCCTTTCTATCATGAATCATTGAGTTGACTGAGTTTTCAATAGGAATATGTTTATGTGCGAGGATTACAACTCTCCACAGTCTCCTTACTGGTGCATGAAGAGCCTCATAGTCGTTGGGCTATTGGATAACGACGAGTTTTGGACTGCTGAAGAGGAGGATTACCCCGTTGGCCAAACTTCCGTCGAGCTTGTCCCCGCTCCGCAGCAGATACTATGCAACCATGATAATGGAAATCACCATTTTATGCTGTCACCGGGCCAATTTGTGGCCTGGCCTATGAAGGCAGCCCAAGCCAAATACTGCAAGTTTGCGTATTCATCTGCTTTCACCTTCTCTGTACCAACGGGACCGCTTATCCAGCAGATCGCACCTGATAGCACTTTGGCATTGAGTCGAGACGGAGGCGAAACTTGGGCCGTGAAGTGGAAATGCGAAGAGCCTCGCTTTTCTACCGTCCAGTACAATGCCGCTTCTTGTTCTGGCTCCATGACTGTCGCCAGCGTCAAGTGGTTTCCGTGGGGAGACCAGCAGGTCTCTGTCACGACCACTCTTGTACCACCCACTGATACATGGCCTGACTGGCATGTGAGGATTCATAGAATCAAAGTGCATCAGAAACTACGCTCATTGCACAGTGTGGAGGGAGGGTTTTCGATACTTGGCCGCCGAAAAGCAAACGAAATGGCTCTACCTACTCTCTCGGAACTTCCAGAAAACGCGGTGCCGGGCGTTGTCGAAGGAATCATAGAGACGCCTGATTCCACACTCATCATGTCGGCGGTAGGAGTAAGTGGAGTGGTGGCGAGCAGGCAGTTGATTTTTATGGGAACTACAAGTTCTCATGCCCTCAAGCCTGACTCTAATACCAATTTAGGATGCCAGAGGACGCTCATTCCAGTAATATCCCATGAAATTGAGGGTGGCTTGGGTGCTGGCACTGCGATTGTATTTATCGAGGCCTTTTTTGCCATCTCAGAATCGAAAGAGAGTCAGAAAAGCCCTCAAGCTCGTACCATTCAGGATCGATGGGGCAACAGAACATGGTTTGACCTGGTCAACTGGCTATCTGTGGCAGAGTAGAGCAGCATAGTTTAGAGATACGGAAGATACGGATTGATAGATTCCAATACTAGCCAGACTCGACCCCGAGTCTGATAAAAGATTCTGTCACTCGTTATGCTAATTTTTCGAAACCGACATTAAAAAACGATTTGCATACGGCGAACATCCTGAATATAGATGGTTTCGACGTGCGCCTGAAGTTGATTCTCTCGGGAATTAGGAGGCGGCGTTCTGCTGAAGAAGAGGCTAGATATCTAGTATCTCGTATACGGAGTATCATTTTTCTTTCGGGCGTTAGATACTGCGAACAGTCTGAGCAAGACCGAGAAGGCTACTTACCATTATAGTCTCGCATCTGAAAATTATCACCAGTATTTACTACTCCCTGACTGTGGGAAATGTTGCCGCCTTGGAACTGTGACACCGTATGAGCACAGGATTACCATCGAAACCTCTTTTTCACTTACTCGAATGCTTCGGGCTATAGACGCACCGACTTGTCCTGGAATAGACTTTGGGAATTTCCAAGCGCAAAGGGCGATGATGGCACTAATAAATGCGAATATGGCAGCGGGCACCCCAACTGCGATCCCTACGATGTCCTGCGTTTCGAGACCACCGGACCGCCTTTGGATGTTTGGCATCTCGGAATTGATCTGATGAACACTCACGCGATAATTCAGGGACAACAGGAAGTGTTTAATTAGCGGTTCTGTTTTCTACATATTATACTCTAGCAATTATCTAAAGTCCAAATGATTGTCTATGCGAACCAGGTCACTTTGCACTGCCTCATACTGCCTCACAGCTGACCTGTCCGGATAACTCTAATTGGCGCAACCCCCTCGACACTAATTACGATAAGGCAGACGATGAGGCAGACATGAAAACTAAACTGCAACAATGCCACGTCAAGAGGGACCTTCAAACACGTCATGCTTTGCTATCTTCTCCGGATTTTATATAGGCGCTTCGCCCGCCTGTGGGGCATCCCTGATTTTACCTCCCATCACACCCATCCATACCATAGCAGACCTGGATTGCATCAAGCGATGGGTCTCTTGGGCATGAGAAAACTCTGTCACAAGCTCAAGAGCAGCTATCAGGCCAAGAAGAGTAAGTACAGAAGCTCTTTGCCAAGCAAGCTTGACAAATCAATTGCGGATGAGACCGACGAGGAGGAAGAGGACAATGTCGTCGAAAATGAACGGGAAGAAGAATCCCCAGATGAGCGAAAAGCCATTGTTCCGGTATGCTGCCTCTCGACCACTGTTCGCAATTGAGTTTTGTTTATATTAAATGTAGATTTTACAGAAAACGAGAGGCGACATCTCCCATGCGAAGGGGGTGATCAACACAGGATCTAATTTTCAGATGAGAGACTACAATGGTAGGCGACGACTTCTGTTTTCCTTCTATAATCCTACACCCTGGAATCTCGATATGATTGGGCTACACGATTGGAGGAAACAAAACAATTCATCCCTTGAGGTCAAATCGCTTCAGATAACTCGAAACACTGGACTAACCTGGATACTTCCTCTTCTCTGTTAGATTACTCCAAGAAAAGCCCTTTTCTCTCCATCAACAACACCGGCACTCTCGTTCTCACGAACGAGGCTTCACAAACTGGCATTGCAGATATCATAATCAAGAGATCCTCGGGGCAAGGGCAACAATTGACGAGGGTTTCACTCCAGAGCGACGAAGAAGCAGCCGGCACATGGACTCGTGGCAGCAACAATAGCCAAAGTCCAAGTACGGATCACCTTACACTACTACCATCGCCTTCAAATCCGCTTCTGGATTTAATAACTCGCTTTTTACGCCCTGAAGAAAACCACGAAGAGAATGGCGCAGCTCCTGAAGTATTACTAGCAATTTTGGGCATCATATTGGCATGGTGCCAAGGTCTCGGCTTGGCGAATATCGCGATATGTCTCGCTCCACGGATATTGGAGATCCCGCGGCCGATCTTTGGTCTATCTGTCAACAAAATAGTGATATGTGACATTCTGGGACATGAGCACAATCTTCAGGTTCCTGCATCTTGGTTCGACTTCAAACTTGCGCTTAGGGAACGAGCCTTCAACCAGCCTGGATTTGAGAAGATCTTGCGCGACCAGTTCGACATCACATACCGCGATTCTGCGAACCAAATCCGTCGTATAGGTCCCAATAATTGGAGAAAGGAACTGGTTCCCAATAAGCGATTTACATTGTCAGCAATTATCCTTGGACTGGAGATGTCCTTTCAGAAATGCGCCCGGTGTGAATCGCGTCTCAACTACGTGGAGAATTATTCCACCTGCCCGAAGTGTCACCTCTCTTGTTTTCAAATGGGTGACCAGGGCAGGATTCCAAACCTGAACGAACTGATCAAGGTCCGCAAATGTGCTGCTAAACAGCTGCAGCAGGATCATCTCGCAGTACCTGGCTCCATTTCGTATCTCGAAAACCCTTATGGCCTAAAGTTTGAGATGGCCATGTCGCGAAGACGCTTGAAGGCAAGACATTCACAGATAACGGGGACTCTCAAATCAAGTCCCATCGCGGACGGGAAGACTAGTACCAGTTCTCGAATGGCGCGAATGACCATAAATGAAGAAGAGAATGAAGAAGAACAAGAGGTCCAAGATAACGACTTGAATAAAGCCTATAGTGACGGGGGGAGCGAACAGCGTGAGACGAAGCATTGGGAGGTCAACGAATACTCGCACGACAAGGAATTGCGGCGACTGGAGCAGAAAGAACTATCATACTACAAGAATATCACTTCTGCCAGCAATTTTGATGTTCTTTACCAGGCTGCGAAATCTGGCCACCTAGACTCGGTTCGTTCCATATTGGAAATCTACGAAGAGAATGGACTTAAGCCTGACGACATATGGGGAGAATGGGGCACCCCATTAGTTGCGGCTATTATGTCGAGATCATTTGACATCACCAAAGCCCTTCTAGATATTGGCAGTGACCCGATCAAGCCCGCGGGTCTACTGGGGTGCCCGTTACATGCTGCTGCACTAAGGGCGGACCAAGAAATCTTCGAGTTGGTCCTGTTGTACGCTGAAAGAAGCTGGCAGGCTCTATTGCATACTGAAGGAGAATATCAAGAAGCCCTGGACATTTCTTTATTTCGATCTGCCCAGTTCAACCACAAGATGCTCATCCAACCTCTCCTTCAAGCTGGTGCCAACCCATTCAAGCAACCAGGAGGGATCAGTCAATCTGCACTAAGGATTGCCACGGTGGGAGAAGGAAGAGACTACTCCGTGTTCGAGGATTACTTGCACATTGCTGCGGATTTTATGCTTCTTCACGAGGAAGAGGTCAAATGGATGAAGTATGCATTTCTACATCCTAATCATGAGCTGCATGAAATGATTGAAGACAGCTCATTGCGCCCTACGTGCGCAAATATCCAGATAGGAGACACAGCATTGGCGGAGAGAACGATTAATCAAAGGCTGAACAACCAGCCGTTATTCCGCAGGAACCGGATTTCGGATAGTACAAAAATTGATGCTGGGATGGCTCAAATTACACCAACTACTTCTCTACTTCCTACCATGAGGAGGTCGGGATCAGGTATTCAGTTCGAGATTACAACCTGTTAGAAAATACAAGAATGTGGACGCTTCAGTGGCAGCTTGTTTGCTTAACCCAGTACATCCTTTCACGGAAGTTTTGTTTCTTTGGCCTTGTCTACACCATTGATCCTGTAGACACCAAGTGCTTCTAGTTTCAACACAAATAGAGTGTATAGAATTCAACCCGGAGCGACCCCAATGCCCAAGTGTGTGTTGGATTGGTACTGTGGTACTCCAGGGAGAACACAGGCCCTGCCTTACTGCCATAAACTGGAAGAGGTTGTAAATTTAGAAGAGGATCAGAAGAACAACGCGACATCTTCCGATGGATCAAATGCCGGCTGTTCTAGGCCTCATAAGGACGTTTCAAGCGCTCACCTCTGAGAGAAATAAACATTTGATAGAGATCAACCTGACCAGTTTAGTTGCAATGCCGAATTAGATGATGGAACTTTTGCTCTTGGAGAAAATCAAAGGCTTAGTTTGACGGCCGTGGAGCCATGCTCTCTTCTGAGGGAGGGGAGTGTTGCTTCCTTATTGACCCAGGTGTTGCTTTCATGCAGTAATTGGATTTGTCCAAGTGATGGCCGGAGATAATCTCATGTTGTAACAACTATTTACTGTTTTTATCAAAATGCCTATCTAAATATACCCGAGTTTCCTATGTTGCCAATTCATGGCTTTTCTCACCAAATCACCGCCTATCTACATATATGTGGCTCCCATAAAGATGATGAATTGCTTCCCCACGCAGTAAGTTCTATCCAGATTGGCGCCTCTCACCTCCTTAATACAAGATCATTGCCTCGAATTCTCATAGAGTCTCATCCGCCTCAAGGAATCGATATGGCCCTTGTCAAGCATGAGGGGTAGCCAGGGGAAGTAGCCCCATTGCTCTCGATTTCAGACAAGAGAATTTGGAAGCTAATGCATCCTATTCTCGGTATTCAGATGAAGAAAACCTTAAGGCTAAATTGAAGCTACCTACTTAAGATTTCTTTGTCAGTTCGTGAGGCCGCACTAGTTTCTTTGCGCCAAAAGTGTCGTTCAAAACTCAGCACCGCACCTGAGAGGAAAATAGCTTACCTGGCTATGTATCGATTGCTATAGGCCTCTAGTAATGGAATCATTTTCTAACTGCCTTGGGTTCGCCTTTCATTCACAATAGGAAGCGCCAAACATTATGGAGATGTAGAAGTCACAAGATGTAGCAGCAGTCTCTGATCATAAAATACTATTGGCTACTCATGTGGTTTTATTACCAATAGATCTTCCCAACCCAGCACGTCAAAGTAGTAGTCAAAACATTTTTGCCAGCCCAAATCTAGCAGTGCTTTCATATCAACTACGAGGTCAAGGATGGAGGGATCGTCGCCGGGCGTCACTTCGAGCCCCCAGTAGGGGCTCCTGCCTCACTCGCCTCGGCACCACCGCCAGTTCCAGGCACCCAGGAAGGAGCAGAGGAAAGAGCTTGCCACCAAAGGTACCTACCTTAAGTCGTGGCGGTACGGCTTATCGATTGATCGATAAGCCGCCTATCGTATGTTTGGGCGAACCTTCCGTCGATGCAGACAATAGCTAGATTTTCCCTTCAACATCACACAATAATTTCAATCCCTTTGCCTCCTTTCGCAGCACCCTGCCAACCCACATAAGTACCTCTACCCATCCTATTCTTGTGAAGCGTTGCTAATCAGAAAGTGGCGAATACCACTGTGAGACAGCTATTTGCTTTGCAGGAAATCCATTTCAATGAATAACCAGACTTGAGCAGTGTCCCTACTGCGACCTCGCCGGGCATGGCCCGGAACAGTGCTGGTTTCGACCAGCGGTATGTCCCTAACTCCTTTGATCCATTGAAAATCTAGGACCCTAGAGTGCTAATAAACACATATAGAAGGGCGAAACGGTTCGTGGACGCATTTTTAGAGCTCGGCGATGGTTTCGATTGCTGACTGATATCCTTTTCGCGAATTCAGACCCCAGCTGAACAGGTATGTGAATCATAATTAAATATATTGGATCTTCTAACGGCGAATTTAGGGGTCGGAACAAGTGAGTTCTTGATCAAGAAAATAAATGTATTTGGATCCTGGCTGAATGTGATGTTAGTTTTTCTTGAATAAGCGGGACGTAAGTAAACCTTCCTGGCTTTTGCTCACCTTATTCTATAAGTAAACGCTGACCGGAGGTCGATCTTAGAACATGCTCGCAATCGGCAAGGTATGCTTGGGACTCTTTGGCCCCCCCATGGCGAAGCTTTATTAATAGACCTGTGCTTGTTCAGGCCAAGGAAAGGCACTTTAAAGTCCTTAAGCAGGTATGAAAGTGTCGCTTCGGTCGAAGGGGAACTATGCTAACTAGTGACTATCTTAGGCCTATCTGGCCGAAGAGAAGGTCAGTGCTGACATGAAAGCTTGCGTGATTGATGTTTTCGGACACTAACATCATTCAGAGAATCCTGGCTAAGGCCATGGTAGGCATTGCCGCTTCTGCATTTGAATTCTCCGTCACTGACATGCCGCATGGTAAAGGAATACCACCAAAAGGCCGAAGTAAGTAATCAATTACTCTTTCCATTGATAATGAGTCATGGCTAATGGATATCCGAAACCAATAGGAGGCCAAGAAGGCCACTGCGCCTGTAAGTGCCCCTGGGAAAAGTGACAATATCCCAATAATCTGACAAAGAGCATTTAGGATGATGACCAAAGTTTCCTTGTGAGCAATGAATCGTTATCTTATGTATTCACAGCTAACATATTCGGCAGGCGAAGTGGAAGAGACTGGTAGGGAGCTGTCCTTCTTGGGACTTGCAGAAGCTTGACTGACCCTAGCATTCTTATAGCAAGAAGAGAAGAGGGTGAAGGAAGAAGACAAGAAGGAGGTGAAGGAGGAAGACGAGAATGAGTAGACCAAGGAATTATGGTAAGTACATCTACCTAATTTGTATTTGTGGACACTGACTCACGCCCATTGATTAGACTGGTTTTTTTCTTTTTTTGTTGCTGTTTTATTCTCTCTTTGATTGTTGTAGATTTTCATTTTTTGCTATGAAGAATCGGTCTTGTAAGCAGATTCATCCTTGCGTCTTTGTGGTTACCGCTGATTCCTATTAGGCCGTCTTCAGTAATGGTTCGTCAGAAGAGCGGTACACGGGCTGGAGCCATCACTGATCGTCTCAGCAGACATCTCTCCCAGGGACTCGTTGTCCCTGATGTTACGATTTTTGAAGGACTGTTCCCGACTTCCCATATCTTGTGAATACATTATGTGTTACTTCTTTCTAATGCTACAACATGCAGGTTTATCACTTCATATAACACCGACGAGCTTATTCAGTAACTATGGGTCCAACCCAGCCTTGATCGCCAATCCTATGCAGAGACTGTGCCATGTAAGTACATTACTTACCTGAGAGCTATATATGCCCCAAAAACACAAACTGACTCCACACTGTAAAAGCGGAAGGGAACGCCTCGTCGCAATAATAACGGGTCATCCCAGAGGCCGAAAGGGAGCTAGTACGAGATTACTACCTAGGAACCCCCATGTCTTGAAATGTACGGCAATCCCTTCTCAACTGGCATGGAAAACATGGAGTCGTTGTTGGATGGTGGACCAATAGGAAGCGCAAGACATTATTTCGGGTGCTTATACTCCCAGACACCTTAGGTATTCCAAAAATCAACTGAATTTATCCTCGATATTGAGTTGATCTCCTCTCTCGCTGCATTTGAGTGAAGCAAACCCTTCTCCGGTGAGATAATATCCATAACGTAAACTCGTGTGGTTTGCTGGGAGAGGGGTACGTCTACTACTGACTAGAAGAGTTTGACGGCATTTTTGTCCGGCCGTATTGGCTATATTGATTAAACCACTTGATCTCTTACAAGCCATAGATAGCCGTTGAGCTGGATCCAGCCTGGGTTGACCCGGATATAATTTCTCGGCGGGATCGGCCATCACTCCAGGCCTTCGGACTTGTCTCCGGTGGGGGTGGCGTGGTGGATTCCGTTTTGCGGAGTTGTCGACACGAACCACCACTTTCCCAGTCAGGGGTTATAAAGTTGGAGCATGTTGTTCCTGCTACTGCTATCTCGCCTGATCTTGCGTCCGTTCATACAGCAGAATCACAGATACCCCAAGCCACTATCCCAAATATGGCTACCGACACCAGGCCAGTGGTACTCCGCATTGGCGAGGACATCAAATACAACCATGACTTCTACAACGATGTCTTCACTAAGCGCTTCAAGGTTGTGGCGAATGAGGAGCCTGATAGAGCGTCATTTATTGCGGCACTGAAAGCAAAAAAGTGAGTCGGCGTATGGCTTTGGGCTAATCAGCGACTGTTCGTTCGTGGCACTAACACGCAGTTGCCACACAGATATGGCGACTTTTCAGCCATTTACCGCCCCCATTTTCAAACTGGCGGTGAAATGGGGCAGTGGAATGATGAACTAATCTCCTTGCTCCCCTCGTCCGTCCGTATATTTGCCTCCGCTGGGGCTGGGTTCAACTGGGCCGATGTGGACGCCCTGGGACGCCGCGGCATCTGGTATGCCAACGGCGCCGGCGCGTCAGACGAAGCGGTCTCTGACATGGGTCTATTCATGATCCTCTCAGTCTTCCGCAATTTCTGGCGCTGCCAACGTGCCGCTCGCACGTGTGACCCTGATCAGTTCATCGCCATGCACAAGCTCGCAGGTAGCATTTCGTGGAACCCCCGCGGCCACATTCTGGGCATCGTGGGGCTGGGTAACATCTCCAAAAATCTCGCTAGGAAGGCAAAGCTCGGCCTGGGGATGGAGGTCCATTATTACGACGTTGTGAGATCATCGCCTGAGGTCGAAGCGGAACTTGGCGTTACATTCCACCCGACGCTGCATGAGCTCTTGGCTGTTGCTGACTGCGTGAGCCTGCACACTCCGCTGAACAAGCACACACAGGATTTGATGAACAAGGAAACCTTCTCGAAAATGAAAGAAGGGGCAAGACTTATTAACACCTCTCGTGGCGAAGTTGTGAATGAGGAGGCCTTAATCGAGGCATTGAAGAGTGGCCGTCTTTCGGCCGCTGGTTTAGACGTCCACTATCATGAGCCCCAGGTTTCAAAAGAGTTGGCTGCGATGGATAATGTGACCTTGACCACGCATAACGGCGGTGCTGCCATCTCCACAAGAGTCAATTTCGAACTAAACGCCATGAAGAACATCCTGCAGGTGGTGGGTGATGATGGTGGTTATCAAGGTGATCCGATGACGCCGGTGAATAAGAATAGCTTCAAGCCATTATAGAGTACCACTGAAACATGAATCAAAATGCATAACTAGCCGATCATATATGTGTCCCAGCACAATGGTAATTCCCTTTATTCAATTTCAACTCCATATGTATATGTTAGATCTCGTTTCATCACCGATACCAACCATTAGCGAGCACAGGGCACCCTCGAACGGGTAAGGAATGAAGGCCCACGTGAAAAACGGTGCCCTTGCCGCCATGTAACCGTTGTCTAATGAGTGGACTGAATATTATTATTTCTCTCAACCCCCTGGAGCCGGTAACAAGACCGAGCATACAGTTCCTCCCCATCTTGGTGTTCGCCGGCATTCTTGCCGAGTCATACATGTTGCTTCCAGGTGTGAGAGTTGTCTGGGGTTCCCCGCAGTTCTGGTTGGGGTTTACATTGCTCCCCACAATCTCTGCTCTGTATAAAGCGCCCCACAACTCATGGTTTTCCTATCTCCTGTTTCTTCAGTCTCTTCCAGGCACGCCTCGAATAACGACAACGAAGATGGTCAGCGTCACAGAGTTCTTCAAGCCCAAGGCGGCGAAGAGTCCTCGTTTTGCCCACTTGACCAATAACACCAACCCGGTATGGTACAAAGACGCCGGCCTTCGAAAGAATGTGTATCACTGCGTTGGTCTGTACCTCTGCGTCTTCTACTTGGGATACGATGCCTCTCTCATGAACGGTCTCCAAGCGATTCCTGAATGGGAAAAATACTTCAACAACCCATCAGGGGCCATCCTCGGCTTCATCTCTGCCAGTTTGTTCCTCCCCGCAATTTTCACACCCTTTGTGGCTTCTTGGATCAATGGCCGATGGGGTCGAAAGGTGTGTCTTGGCGTAGGATCACTTCTTCTTATCCTCGGTGCCTTCCTAAATGCCTTTGCTACCAACATTGGAACATTCATCGGCGGCCGAGTGATCATCGGTGCCGCTGGTCCCTTTGGAAAGATCACGGGTATTGCCCTCCTTCAAGAGTTGGCTCACCCTCGCCTACGCCCGTATGTTGCTACAGCCTACTACAGTAACTACTACTTTGGCCAGATTGCTGCCTCATGGTTCTGCTTCGGTGTACTGTCCTGGACATCCACAGATTGGAGATGGCGAGTGCCTTGCCTGTTCCAGGCCGTGGCACCTATCTTGGTCATCATCCATCTCTTCTTCATGCCCGAAAGCCCCCGATGGCTGATCGATCACGACCGAACCGAAGAAGCCCTCAAGATCCTCGCCGACGAGCACGCCAACGGTGACTTGAACGACGAGCTCGTCAGGTTCGAATACGAAGAGATCTGCCAAGCACTCCAAGCCGAGAAAGACAACAAGAACAGCAAGTACTCTGACTTGGTCAAGACACCTGGTAACAGGCGACGACTCCTCGTCCTGGTTGCTATGGGTACTGGCTCTAACTGGGTCGGAAATGTCATCATCGCTTACTACCTGTCACCTGCCCTCAAGCTCGTCGGTATCACCAAGGCGGACCAGATTGCTGGAATCAACGGCGGCCTTGCCATTTGGTCTTTGATTTGGGCATACATTGGTGCCATGAGCGCCGAACGTGCCGGCCGCCGATTTCTTTGGCTTGCGGGTACCATTGGCATGCTCATCTCGTACGTCATCATCACTGGACTGAGCGGTTCATTTGCCAACACTCCCTCACGCGGCGTGGGACTTGCAGTGGTCCCAATGATGTTCGTCTACAAGACATTCTACTGCATGAGTTGGTCGCCATTGCCCTTTGCGTACGGTGCTGAGATTATGCCCTACCATCTGAGACTCAAGGGATTGAGTATCATGCTCAGTGTGCAAAGTGTGGCCTTGACCTTCAACCAATGGGTCAACCCAGTGGCAATGGAAGCCATCGGCTGGAAATAGTAGGTCCATAAATCCTTGATGTAATAATTTCACGGAATGCTAACCAGTGATAGCTACCTCATGTACATTGCCTTGATTGCCTTCTACCTTGTTCTTATCATTTTCTTCTTCCCAGAGACAAGGTGAGTTTCTATTTTCGATGCCTGCAAATGAAAGACGAAGCTAATACAATTTCTAGGAACATGACGATCGAAGCAGTATCAGTTCTCTTTGACACCGGCCGAAAAGGTGACGCTGAAGAAGCGTCCCGAAAGCTGAACCATGACATCATGGGCAAAGACGTGGATGCGGTTGAGCATGTCCATGTTGATGATGTTAGAAAATAGAGACATGATGATGTTATTCATGAATAGTTAATCCAGTGTGACTTTATTTCTCACCATGGAAAATGGAATGTCATTGTCCATTCAACTAAGATAGAAAACCAAGACCAAGACCTTCGAGCTCTCGTCTGGTGCAATGGTTTACAGTACAAGTCCGATACATCATGATAATTCAACGCATGTCATTGCCAGATCAAAGCCAGTCGAAGGGCTGACAATTGATTTTGAGTCTGACTCAACTCTGGTTTCAAGTCAAAGAACCTAGTCTCTTGTGAAGAAGTCTATGCTGTTACAGATTGTAGTGCCACACACGTGACATATAGTGACACAAGACATATCTTGTGCAAAGGTATACAGGTCCGACAAGGCCAATCTCGAAAGTCATTATCAGTAACGGCAGACTACATATGTTCCCGGTTCTTC